CTTAGCTTTTATTGTTTGTGTGACTATTTGTGACTAAGTGGACATAGGAGAATCTAGGTGGGGGGTTTGTGCGAGCAAATTCGCAACAGCCTCTCATGATTACACGTAAGCTAGATCTCAGCAAGGCTGGCTTGAAAACCTTCAGAAGCTGAGCCTCAACCGGGAGCAGAGCTGCTGAGGATCTGCACCATGGTCACACACTGTGGTGTCTGCAGATGCCATGGTCTGTTCAGAAAAAAATTGGTAGAAGAAAAAAATACATGTTCAGCCATGTTATCAGAGTCCTCCCTGTCTTTATTTGGCAATCTTCCTGATTCTTGAGGTCAGATAACAGAAATTGCTTTCTTAGGTAAGTCCTAGGCATGAGTCCTGCCAGCCCTGCTCTGCAGCAGACAGGCTGTGGCTAACACCATTAGGGCTGAGCTGATGCTTTAAACTCTATGAACGGTGAAGGTCATTTTCTATATTTCAACAGTGGACTCTGGATGATGGGATATGAAAATCTCTCTGTGGAATTTTCTCACCATCCTGTGGGTTCCATATCCAAACAAGACAAACACAATTTCTAGTTAGTCATCAATATAAATCTTAGATTAATCTAAATCTGTTGGCTTCATTTTAAAATTAGTATGAGTACTGTGTATGATTATGTTTTTGATATAAGGAAAATCATACATAATAAACTCTGTTATTGTGATCAGAAGCTAGACATTCTGCTGTTTTATACAATGGAACTCAACCTTTCTGTCATAATCTGTTCTCTGACCCATCTCTCTTCCTCAAACTCAGATCTCATTGAGAACACAATTATGTTGTTTCTGTCTCTTTGGTGCCATTCAAACACTTGGACAAATGTCACTTTTATAGTGACACTTTTGCTTTGAAGCTCCACTGTTAGCCAGAAACATTACATAGTGGAAGATTAGCATTCACTCACCTTTCCATGTCATAGAGAAGTCAGGTGACAGATGACTTCCACAAAAGTGCACACTGGGCTGCCAATTTCCTGTAAGCAGCAAGTCTTTAGTGCTCCTCTGAAGCTTTTTCTTCCTTTGCTTAGAGGTCACTGACCTTCAGAAATACCTGTCATTTCTGAGACCAGGGGTAGGTGCTTGTCCTGGTGCCTCCTGGGATAGAAATTCAAGGAGAAAGCTCTTAGGATCAATTAAAGGGTACTTATAGCTGCATGACCCAATCTCCCTATTGGCTTGTATGGAGGACTGTGGTCAGGGGAGTCACATATTGTGGGCAAGAGCATTTCCTTCTCAATGCCTTCCCCCGCCAACCCTGTACATATATATCCCAGAATGACTTTGGGTTTCTCATGGCCTGTGTGGATGGTCTGAATTGGACATACACACAATGGATTTATTCTAAGAATCTTGTACTATTTACCTCTCTCTTTCTTTCCTATACTCCAGCCTTTCTGTATATTGTTAAGAATTAATGTTCCTTCAGCACTTCCATTTTGTTTGCTATATATTTAAACATTTAAAATATTTATTCAGCCCTGTATTATTATACAGACTTAATGGGTTGTATTTAGGAACATATATTACACAGCAACAATTAGTAATAAAAAAGAGGTCATGCATTTGGAGGCGACTAGGTGGGGGCATATGAGAAAGGAAGGGATAAAATGCAATCAAATTATAACCTCAAAAAATTAAAGATAAAAAGTCACTCAATGTTTTATGTAACACCGAATCCTTCATAAATGAAAATATAAATAAAAACATTATTTAAAAAATTTTTAATTCTAAAAGATATCTACACAGTATATTCTAATCCCTATTTTTCCTCCCCCAACTACCCCCAGTTCCTCCTCTCCTCCTCCACTGACCCAATTCCAATGACCTTTCTTTCTCTAAAAAGTCAACAGGTAAACAAACAAATTAACCCAACAAGGCATACCACTACTACCACTAATAATAATATGAAGAAGGAGGAGAACCAAACACACACACACACACGTGCACGCACACGCACACGCACACACACTTAAAGAACCAGAAACCATAGCATACAAGGAAAAGGTCATTAAGAAAAAACTGTCCCCCACAATTCAATATGAGACAAAAAGTTCTCAAAAATGCCATTGAGTTCATTTTATGTTGATGGTCTTGAAGCCTGTCCTTAACTGTGTTTGATATCCCCTGTGAGACTCCAGTGGGTAGAACTAATTTTTCTTTGTAGGCACTTGTAATTTGGAGATAGCTTCTTAGTTATGGATATTTTATGTCCATTTCCTCCAGTCAGCTCAGGGAACTTGTCTAGTACCTTTGAAGTACTTGTGCATGCTGCCACAGTTTCTGTGAGTTCATATGTGCATCAGTCCTGTTCTGTCTAAGAGACACTCAGGTGTTTTTGAATGTTTGGCCCATAGGAAATGCACTATTAGTAGGTGTGGCCTTGTTGGAAGAGGTGTGTTACTCTGAAAGTGCTTTGAGAATGCTCACACTATACCCAGTGTAGCATTCTCTGCCTGTGGATCAAGATGTAGAACTCTGATCCTTCTTCAGCATCATGTCTGCTTAGAAGCTTCCATGCTTTCTGCCATGATAATAAGGGACTAAACCTCTGAAAGTATAAGCCAGCCTCAATTAAATATTTTCTTTTATAAGAATCGCTATGGTCACGATGTCTCTTTGCAGCAATGGAAACACTAAGACACCATCTCAGCATTTTCTTCTGTGAATGGTACCACTGGTAAGGAGGACCTCTGCTGTTCAAGTTATTGGCACAGAGATGTCTCCATTATATCTTTGGCAAAGCACAGCATTTGAGAAAATTAATTAGTAAAGAGAAGGCAGATATGAAGCAAAACGTCTTCTACTCTGTTTATATATTTATGAAGATGAGAAAGGGATATATGTGTCTCAGAACCTAAAACTAAAGGATGGAAGGTCAAAGGGCAGAAAGTAAAAAAATATAATAAGGATCTATAGTTTTCAAAATGGAGTGTGGCAGCAAGTAAGGATTAAAAAAATGTTCCCATAGTAGAAACACATGCACTCCTCATCTTTCTGAGATCAGGACAAGTTTCAAAGTAATCAAATATAAAAATCAAACTTTGAAATCATGAGCTATAAACTTTTCTCAGATTCCTGAAGGCACGGCAGTGTTTTGAGTACCATTCATACAGATGTTGAGCTCCAGCCAGACACTGGTGATTGAGATCCTGCTATAGAGGTTCTCAGAGCATTCCAGTCTATGACTGCTCCTGAAAAATGTCTTTCTCTCCTGTAAACCATAAGGCTCATTGGAAATGTTGTGATAATTCTTTTGGATTTATATGCCACAAGGTACTGGTTGGTCTAATTTCTAAGAAAAACACCACTTCTTTCCAGGGACATATGGCTCAGTTCCTTTTCCTTGTGTGATCCATACATTATGAGTTGCTGCTGCTGTTTGTGGTCATGGCCTATGACCACTACCATGTGGCCATTTGCTTTCCTCTGCACTGCAGCTCTAGAATTAACCCACACATATGAGGGACATGACTATAAGCATGTGGTCCATCTGTACTCTAAATTTTTTCATCAATGCTGGTCTGATGAGATGGCTATCATTCTATGACTCCAAGGACACCCACTTCTATGAGATTTGCCAGTTTTTACTGCTCTCCTATAGACCCTCAATTGTAAACAACATCACAACTCCCATGGCCAATGACTTTTTCAGAGGCATCTCTTTTTGCCTCCCTGTTGTCTTCTGGCTGTATCAGCAGCAGCGTCTAGCACATATGCTCAGCTGAGGGAAAGCAGAAGGCCTTCTCCTGCTCATCTACATCACTGTGATCTCTCTCTATTACCCATCCAAGTTCTGTGCCTGCTCCCAACTACAGTCCAGAAAAAGTTATTCTCCTGAAGTGATATGGCAGGCTCTAAGTCTCACTCTCAACCTTACACACTGATGAACAAGAATGACACACATGCTCTGAAGAGACTCTTGCAGGCCATTCTGATAGTGTAAGGTCATTTCTCACCTGCACTGCTAAGAGCATCTTCATGGCCATGTGGTTTGGTTATGGCCATTATAGAAAAGAACCTTTAAATTCAGGACCTGCACACGAGCTTTTTGTTCTTTGTTCATTGTTTTAATCAATTTATGATTATCTATGTTCACCAAATAAAAGCTTAATCCACATCAACACCACCCCAAGTCCTGATAGATGCTCTTCTTTCACAGAGAAAGTCATTTTGCCTTCCCAAAGGACACAAGAGAGCCTTGCTTCTCTGTCGGATCCTTGCTGGCAGGTCCAGGTGAGAGAAGAGTGGTCTGAGTCCCAGTCCGACCAGATCTCTTCAGGGCTGAGCGGGATGGTGAGTGTCAACAGCCCAAAAGAAACACACCGGGTTGGGAGTCTTGTTGAAGCAGGAACTCAATTTTATTGCTTCAGCCTCTCACTTATATAAACTCGGAGCATAGGGAGGGGGATTTTTGGTAAGGTGAGATGACGTAGGAGGCAGGGAAGGTGACAGAGGGTATGGAGTGACTGACAGGATGAATGGCAAAACTGTACATTAGCAATGGCGGGGCAGAGGCAGGGCCAAATAGGTCTTGCTGAGTCACCCCAATACAGAAGTGACTGAGACAGGTCTCAAAACTCAAGCCAGGCTCAGGTTTGTCCACAAGACCCAAACCAGGGCCAAAATGGAGCCTAACGTTTCTCTGAGATGAGTTCTTGCTTATTAGCTACTACTATTTCCATTAAACAATTCTTCCGAGAAAGGGCCACTGTCTGTATGTGTATAGTACTATCTCAATATGAATATTGGGAAATAAACAGTCTGTTTTCAGTGTCTTCTTCCTACTTTATATGTGGTCAAGTGCTGTACTTCAGCTGCCCATATGTTACTCCTAACTCTCCCTTTACTAGACAAATGTGGCATATCATTGAGTGCAGATTCTCAAAGCAATAGAATGTGTGACATAGATGCTTTTTTATCTTGAAGCAGTTGGAAAACCAAGAATTTTTTTTATTCTTCTCTCATGTGTTACATCTCATCTTCAATTTCTCTTTCCTCCACTCCTCCAGGTTCAGCCCCCACATCCTCTCTCTGCCAGATGCATTCCTTATCCATTTCCTTTCAGAAAAGAACAGGACCCCAAGAGATAGCAGCTGAACAAGGCATAACAAGTTACAATAAGTCTAAGCAAAATCCCTCATATCAAGGTTGGATGAGGTAACTCAGTAGGAAGAAAAGGGTCCTAAGGGCAGGCAAAAAAGTCAGAGACAACCCTACTCCTACCATTAGGAGTACCACAAGAACACTAAGATATACATCATAACATATTCAAAGAACCTAGATCAGATCCATAAGGCTACATAATAACCCCTTAAGTCTCTGTGAACCCCTATGATCCCTGCTTAGCTGAGTCTGTGGGCTGTGTTCTCATTGTGTACAAAATCCCTCTGGCTACTACAATCTTTTCTCTCCCTCTTCTGCAGAGCTCTCTGAGCTCCACCTAGTATTTGACTGTTGATCTCTGCATGTGTTTCCATCAGTTTCTAGATTGAAACCTCTCTGATTACAGTTGGGCTAGACATCAGTATATGAATACAGCAGAATACCATTAGGAACTGTTTTATTGACTCCCTTCCCTTCCCTTCCCTTCCCTTCCCTTCCCTTCCCTTCCCTTCCCTTCCCTTCCCTTCCCTTCCCTTCCCTTCCCTTCCCTTCCCTTCCTTTCCCTCCCCATCTCATTTTTGTGCCAGTTGTGTTTGGCTCTATCCTAGGTCTCTAGGCTATTGAGCCTCTAGTTCCTGCAGATTCAGGAATAGGCTCCCTTTAGTGGGATGGGCCTCAAATGGGACCAATCATTGTTTGGCCACTTTCACAAGTTCTGTTCCATTATTACCCCAGCACATCTTGCAGGCAGGATATATTGTAGGTTGAAGGCTTTGTGCCTGGATTGGTGCCCCAGTCTTACCACTGGAAGTCTTGCCTGGCTACAGAAGCTGACTGGTTCAGGTTCTCTACTCCCATAACTAAGAGCCTTTGCTAGGGCCACCCTTATAGACTCCATAAAGTATTCACTGCACTATTTTTCCACATTGTCCTCCAGTACCCCTCAATTCCAGTCATCTCTCCCTGTACTCTCTTGCTCCATGCCCCCAGCCCAATCTCTCCTGTTTCCATCCCTACTCACCCCAGTTCTACCTACAAAATCTATTTTCACTTCCCAGGGTGATTCATGTGTTCCCCCCTTAAGACCTCTTTGTTACTTAGCCTCTCTGGGTCTGTGGATTTTAGCATGGCTATCCTTTACTTAGCAGCTAACATTTGTATATAAGTGAGTATATAACATGTTTGTCTTTCTGGGTCTGGGTTATTTTACTTAGGATGGCTTACTCAAGTTTCTTCCATTTTCTTGCCAATGCTGGTGCCATTACCCAACAGAGTAATGCTCCATTTTGTAAGTGTACCAAATTTTGTATATCTATTTGTCAGTTGAGAGAAAACTAGGTTGTTTCTAGTTTCTGGCTGCTATGGATAAAATCACTATGAACATAGTGTTCTTGTGGCATGATGGAAGTGGTATAGCTAGGTCTTGAGTTAGATTAATTCCCAATTTTCTCAGGAACCAGCATACTGATTTCCATAGTGGCTGTACAAGTTTTCCAGCATGAGCTGTCACTTGTAGTTTTGATCCAAGTTTGAGAAGTACAGATGTTTGACGTATGACTTAATGATCTTTTAGATTTCCTCAGTGTCTGTTGCTATATCCCCTTCTCATTTGTGATTTTGTTAATTTGGCTGTTCTCTCTGTGTTTGTCTTTTAGTTAGCTTGAATAAAAGTTTATCTATTTTGCTGATTTTCTCCAAGAACCAACTCTTTGTTTCAGAGATTCTTTGATTCTTAGCCTAGTTCTCTTTGTTTCTATTTTGTTGATTTCAGCCCTGAGTTTATTTCCTGGCCTCTAGTCCTCAGGGGTGCTTGTTTCTCTTTGTTTTAGAGCTTTTAGGTGTGCTGTTAAGTGTAAAAGTAATTCCTGGGGGTGGGGGGAGGGAGGTCCTATGCCCTGATTTCCTCCCAAATAACTGCAGGGCATTTCTACAATCAATCTAACTCATTTTAGCTCCCAAATAAAGAAACAGAAACAAGCACTAATGGCTGGACAGGTTGTGATCTATTCTAATCCATTTAGGCTGCTACTACCTAGTCAAATTGTCCTTTGCCTACATCTGAGTCTGCCATGATTCATACATTACATCCCAATTTCAGTTTCCTTTCCTGCCACTCCTTCAAGTTCCCACCCTCATACCTCTTCACTCTGCCAGATGAATTCCTTTTCATTTTCCTTTCAGAAAGGAGCTTCAAGAATGGCATATATAGCTTGATCATGCTATCCCCTTTTTGTTCTGGGAATACTTTTATTCCTGTCTATCATGTTAAAGCTTGTCTTTAACAACACCAACATGTTGGCTGCCAAAGTACATGGCTTGAAACTGAAAAGGGACACCCAGACAGAGTTATTAATTTAACAGGCTGGTAAGCCAAGGACGGGTAAGATTCTGCACAGAGCCTTATCAACCTAAGATATAAGTACATTGCTTTTGATAATGCATATTCCATGATGGGTAAGGAAGGCATTCTTGTCAGAACAACCTAAGAGAGGTTCAGTCTTCTTTATGAAATAAAAAATGGGGAGAGGCAGAGAGCTTTTGAGGGTGCTTGGCAAGAATCTGACATTGGCCAAGGACAAAAAAATGGGCTGCTTGGCAGGAATAAGACGTTGGCCAAGGACAAGGATGTCATGGTCAATAAGAAGTCCAGGCCTGTCAGGAACATGTCTGCAATGACAGTCATAACGTTGTTGATAAAAGTGGGGCTGCAGGACAGCATCAACACAGAAGGGATCTCACAGAAGAAGTGTGTGATGAGATTGGGACCACAGAAGGACAGTGGCAATACCAGACAAGTGAGCATCAAGGAGTTGAGAGCTCCAGTGAACCACACAAAGGTTGCAAGGGCCACACAGGCCCTGCCACTCATGAGGGTACCATAGTGCAATGGCTGGCAGATTGCAAGGTAGTGGTCATAGGCCATGGCAGAGAAAAGCAGAAGCTCAGAGCCCAGGACCCAGGAGAGGATGAACATCTGTGTAAGGCATCCCTCATAAGAAATGCTGTTCTCTGTCACCAGGCACTGCAGGACTTTGGGCAAGATGGTCACAGTGCAGATCACATCCATCAGGGCAAGGTTGGCTAGGAAGAAGTATATGGGAGTGTGGAGGTTGGGACTGCTGTGGATGGTTATGATAATTAGGCCATTGCCAGCTATGGATGCCATGAACAAGGCAAAGAAGAGGCAGAAGAGGGTATCCTTGACCAAGTGGTCCTCAACAAAGCTTTGCAAGATGAACATGGTCACAGCCGACTGGTTTACTGGAGCCATGGGAAGCACTGTCTAGGCTAAGGATGAGAAATGCACCTTGGGCCTCTGGCACAAGTAGTGATCTTTATTCTGATGAACTCAAAATCATTTTAAAGCTTTGGTAACAATCAATTCTATGTAACGAGGAACCTGTTTTGGTAAGAAAAAATGGTTTAATTTTATTCTCATGCCTTACAGACTAAAGAAACTAGCAGGTCAAAGTTATACTACATACAGACTTAGTCTGTGAACATGGGTGGACCCTGAATGAAAGTTTCTATGCAAATTGCTTCATACAAGCTGCAGCTCATCCATCAAGGAAGGAGAGATCGCCATGCTTGTGTGCGCCAACCAGGACAAGTTATTGGAGACTGTCTTATGGATAATAAGAAGACATGAATAATCATGAAAAAGCTGAGAAAGGGGGCAGTGAGAAGGGTTTACCCTGGTGCTGGCTGCTGTCCTAGAATTGGAGAATAACACACAGAGCATTAATAGAATGTCTCTCTGGAGACAGAACCAAGTGTGGTCTTTATGGCAATATGGCTTCTCATCCGGATGACAGCAATGAACCCAGAACTTCCTATCTTAGAACTCCATTCCACTAGGACATAAAGCTAGAGGATAATAATCAAGGTTCAAATACAACCTGTGAAGAAAACTTGGATCTCTTGAGGGTCCCTAGGGTGTCTCTCAACACTTTGAGCCATAGGAACTCAGTTGGTCCCAACCCCAGCTCCTACAAGGTTACACAGAGAACCACCAAAACAAATCAAACAATCCCTGTACGACTTTACATTGCCTGTCCCCAAATGTTGAGAAAGCAGCCTTCTGTTGATAGGAGCGGGAGCTGTGGTCACCAAGTCTCATCTGGACTATTCGTATACTGGTCACTTGTCACTTTCCACTAACCAGACTCTGCCAATTGGGGTAAAGTAAAGGATAGGTCCATGAGTGTGATTTATGAATCAGAAGCTAAGGCCAGGCTGATGGTGACAGGGGACAGAACCTTCCAATGGGGAGTGCCACATGAAGGGTGTGATCAGGCCACTCTCATCTAGCGTTCAATGCAGCATGAAAAGACCTTTCAGGTCCTTGTGTAAAGCATTTACATATTTCTAGAAAAGAATGTTCTAAAACATAAAATAGTCCTGGACACACATTTACTCAAACTGCAAACACACTATGTACCACCTCCATTACTTCATCCCACAGTGCTCCAGAGGGATTTTCAGGGAGAGGGGTGTGGGTGTCTATGCTGTGCTGGCTCTGTTCCTACCTTCATCCAGCAAACCAAGTTCAATGTTATTAATACTGATATAGCTTGGCTGGTAGTCCTCGGAACATTTTCCTGGGGTTCACCTTCATTCTTTGTTTCCAAATGGCCTCAGATCATGCTTCACATGACCAAATCAGAGAGATTGTAATCCTAACCCGCTCCCCCGCCCCCAGACTTTATAAATGAATCTCCTGATTGAATGGCTGACAGGAAAGAAGAGACATAGCCAACTAAAACAGCAGTACACATTAAGAGTTTTTGAAACTAAGAATCTTTTCCAGATGAGTCCCCAGGACTTTGACATAGGGTTGTCAACTCCTGCCTAGAGAGATGCATCTGGACCCTACAAAGGAGGAGCATCTAGGTCATGTCCTCACCACACCATTTGGGATGCAGGGATGCCTTGGTCCTGAGGAGTACAGAGGTGTCTGTTTGCTTCAGGTAATCCTGGCTTAAGCCTAGATAGCTTTGGCTGTATGATGCAACCCAAGGCAGCCATGCCCCCATGGGAGGCCTGCCTCAGGGCTTTGGCCAAGGTGGCCTTGCAACTATTTGTCAAGTGGAAAGTGAAGGTGGAAGAGGGGCCTGGCCCCAGGGCAGATGGGAAGGACACTGCTTCTGCTTGCTGTGGCAGGAACTCATGCTTTCCCAGCTGGAGCTCACTTCTCTTTCAAGTCACTGTTGAAGCACAGCAGGGGAGGGCGCAGGGGCTGGTATTCACTGGTTAACTTCTCCAGAAAAGGATCTCAGACTTCTCTAACATCAGGGGCCATCATTGCCTGCATTTGAGGCTGTGATGACAAAACTTGTGTCGGAACAGGATCCTCTGATCTTGACAGAGAGGGTTGAGTCACACTGTGAGCTGTAGCAGACAGGAGTCCAACATCTCAGGCTGTTCTGTTGGATGTCTCAGCACCTCAGTTACTCTGAGGTGTTGCACACTCATCCAACTGTTGCTATGAAAAAAAAAAAGGTGCCAGCCATGTGCCCACAAATGGACTCCTCCAGTGGATGTTTTCACACTTGCTTCATATGAAAAAGGTTTTGAAATGTTTCATGTCTTCAGTTTCATTGGATACACAAACAGAATGTAGTTGGAAATGGTACCCAAGGTTTAGGAAAATTCTTATTTATTTATTTACTTTTTATTTAAAATTTAGAAGCCATGTAAGTATTTTTATTTTAGCTTTATGGTCTATATTCATTCATATTTATAATACACATACCATTTTGGACTGCATTTCTCTTTTTATTTTACATGTTGTTCCTTCTGTTGGGTGCTGCAAAATCATTATTATTGCCTTGTTGGGAACAATGTTTTGAGAGAATTCTAGACTTACATAGGAGCTGAAAAAAATACTAGAAGTTTCTCCCACTGTTCATCTAGCTTCTGCCCACCCCTTTGTGACAGTCACAGATACCTATAAACATCCTCTATTTGGAACTCCCAGGGGCCACACCAGGCTGGGACTGAGGTAGGTGATTCCTGTCCCCTTTTACAGACTCTCCATTCTCATCCCCAGCCCTGAAGCAGCCTGGGTGAAGGGGTCTGTCCTCCAATTGCACATCCAATCTTGAGGAACTCTGCCAAACCTCGGAGTGGACCCAGCTAGTACTTCTATAGACCCTCTCATCCCCTCCTCCTCATCCAGCACATCCTCATTCATTTCTGTCAACTTCTAGTACCCAGAAATGCCTTCTACCCAGACCTTCAATGGCCATGCCTGGCAGGGACTCCAGTGGGTAAGTCACACTATTCTTTCTGTCCTCCATTTGATCTTTCCATTCTCACCCAAACCCAGGAACAACCTGCTTAGGAGCCCTACTCCTCCTACTTCACCTTCTTGAGTTCTTTATATATTTTGGATATTAGCCCTCTGTTGGATGTGTGGTAGGTAAAGATTTTTTTCCCAATCTGTAGGTTGCCAATTTGTCCTATTGATTGTGTCTTTTGCTTTACAGAAGCTTTTCAGTTTCATGAGGCCCCATTTATCATTTGTTGATCTTAGAGCCTGAGACATTAGAATTCTGTTTAAGTAATTTCCCCCTGTGCCAGTGAGTTTGAGGCTCTTTCCCACTTTCTCTTCTATTCAATTCAGTGTATCTGGTTATATGTTGAAGTCCTTGATCCACTTGGGCTTGAGCTTTGTGCAAAGTGATAAATATGGATCTATTTTTATTTTTCTACATACAGACTGCCAGTTGGACCAGCACCATTTATTGAAGATGCTTTCTTTTTTCCATTGTATGTTTTTGACTTCTTTTTGAAGATCAAGTGCCCATAAGTGTATATGGGCTTATTTCTGGGTCTTCATTTTTATTCTATTGATCAACTTGTCTGTACAAATATCATGCAGTTTTTAAATCACTATTACTCTGTAGTACAGTTTAAGGTCAGGAATGGTGATTCCCCTGGAAGTTCTTTTATTGTCAAGAATTGATTTTGCTGTCCTGGGTTTTTTGTTTTTCCATATGAAATTAAGAATTGCTCTTTCCGTGTCTATGAAGAATAGTTTTAAAATATTGATGGGGATTGAGTTGAACTTGTAGATTGCTTTTAGAAGGATGGCCATTTTTACTATTTTAATCTTACCAATCCATGAGCAGGGGAGACTTTTTTCATCTTTTGAGGTCTGCTTCAATTTCTTTTTCTGGAGATTTTAAGTTCTTGAATTCAAGAACACATCAAAGAGATCATTCACCAAAAAGAGAACTTCAGACCAATTTCACTTATGAATTTTTTCATTTTTTATTGGTTATTTTATTTATATACATTTCAAATGTTATTCCCCCTATCCCTTCCCCTCTCCCCCTGCTTCTATGAGGGTGCTTCCTTACCTGCCCACCCACTCCATGCCTCAGTGCCCTAGCATTCCCCTACCCTGTGTCATCAAGCCTCCACAGGACCAAGGGACTCCCCTCCCAGTGATGCCCCCTAAGGCAATCCTCTGCTACATATCCAGCTGGAGCCATGGGTGCCTCCATGTGTACTCTTTGGTCATGCTCCACTATGTTCATAGCAGCCTCATTTATACTAGCCAGAAGCTAAAAACAACCCAGATGACCCTCAATAGAGGAATGGATACAGAAAATGTGGTACATATACACAATGGAGTACTACTCAGCTATTAAAAACAATGACTTTACACATTTTGTAGGTAATTTGATGAAACTAGAAAATATCATCTTGAGTCAGGTAACCCAGTCATTTTACGCTAATTCTGTTTTTATTGTTTGTGTATATGGTTTCAAGGCTGACCACTTTGCATCAGGCAACTAATAAAGGGACTGTACTGGCTGGTTTTATGTCAACTTGACACAAGCTGGAGTCATCACAGAGAAAGGAGTTTCAGTTGAGAAAATGCCTCCATGAGATCCAGCTGTAAGGCATTTTCTCAATTAGTGATCAAGGAGGGAGGGCCCCTAGTGGGTGGTACCATCCCATGGCTGGTAGTCTTGGGTTCTATAAGAAAGCAAGCTGAGCAAGGCAGGGGAAGCAAGCCAGCAAGTAGCATCCATTCATAGCCTTTAAATCAGCTTCTGCTTCCTGACCTGCTTGAGTTCTAGTCCTGACTTCCTTAGGTGATAAACAGAAACATGGAAGTGTAAGCTGAATAAACCATTTCTTCCCCAACTTGCTTCTTGGTCATGATGTTTGTGCAGGAATAGAAACTCTGACTAAGACAGGGACACATCCTAGATGAAGCTAATTCTCCTCCCAGCAGTCATTAGTTGCTTGTAG